GGAAAGATCCAACAGATTAAGTTTGATGTACATGAAAATGAGCATAGCAAGCAACATTAAGTCAGCTCTTCCACAAACTGAAAGTGCCATCGAAATGATGAAACTTGTGGAAGAGCGCTCCCAAACCGCTGATAAGTCTCTTGCTGGGACACTTATGAGTACACTGACCACCATGAAGTTTGATGGTTCGTGTACTATGCATGAGCATGTTATTGAAATGACAAGCATTGCGGCAAAATTGAAAGCATTGGGAATGGCTGTGGATGAGAACTTCCTGGTGCAGTTCGTATTGAACTCATTACCGTCTGAGTATGGTCCTTTCCAAATGAACTATAATACCATGAAAGACAAATGGAATGTGCATGAATTGCACACTATGTTAGTTCAGGAAGAAACCAGAATTAAGAATCAGGGAGCTCATTCTGTCAATTATGTAAAGCATCAAGGAGCTGAAAAGAATAAAGGTAAGAAGCATGAGAAGAAAGGAGGAAGAGGAGGACCCCTTAAAGTGAATGAGGCCTCTTCTTCTAAAATCCACAAGGCCAAATGAAAAGTTTGTCTTTATGGGCAATAGAGTGAAAGTTCCGGTGGAAGCTGTTGGGACTTATCGTTTAATTCTCGACAGTGGATATCATTTGGACTTATGTGAAACTTTGCATGTCCCTAGTATATCTAGGAATTTAGTTTCAATTCCCAAACTTGATGTTGTTGGGTACTCTTTTAAATTTGGTAGTGGTAGTTTCAGTTTGTACAAACACAATCATTTGATTGGTAATGGTACTTTATATGATGGATTATATAAATTATGTCTTGATAATCTTTATGTTGAAACACTTATGACTCTGCATCATAATGTTGGTACTAAATGTATCTTAATTAACGAATGTTCCGCTTACTTGTGGCACAAACGTTTGGGACATATTTCCAAAGAAAGGATGCAAAGATTGGTGAAGAATGAAATCCTTCCGGATTTAGATTTTACTGATTTGAATGTTTGTGTGGATTGTATTAAAGGAAAACAAACAAAACACACAAAGAAAGGAGCCACAAGAAGCACTCAGCTTCTTGAAATTATACACACTGATGTATGTGGTTCGTTTGATGTTAATGCCTTCAATAAAGAAAAATATTTTATCACTTTCATTGATGATTATTCACGTTATGGTTATGTCTATTTGCTGTATGATAAGTCTCAAGCTGCAAATGCTTTGGAGATTTATATTAATGAAGTTGAAAGGCAATTAGACAGAAAGGTGAAGATTGTCAGGTCTGATAGGGGTGGTGAATATTATGGAAAGTATGATGAAAGTGGACAACATCCGGGTCCATTTGCTAAATTTCTGGAAAAGAGTGGTATTTGTGCTCAATACACAATGCCCGGTACACCGCAACAGAATGGTGTATCAGAAAGGCGTAATAGGACCTTACTGGATATGGTTAGGAGTATGTTAAGTAATTCTTCTTTACCTGTTTCATTGTGGACTTATGCTCTAAAAACTGCCATGTACGTATTGAATAGGGTTCCTAGTAAGTCAGTTCCAAAGACTCCTTTTGAACTTTGGACTGGAAGGAAACCTAGTATAAGACACCTGCATGTTTGGGGTTGTCAGGCAGAGATTAGATACTACAATCCGCAAGAAAAGAAACTGGATGCAAGGACAATCAGTGGTTATTTCATTGGTTATCCAGAAAAATCGAAAGGGTATAGATTTTACTGTCCTTATCATACTACAAGGATTATTGAATCTGGAAATGCAAGGTTCATTGAGAATGGTGAAGTTAGTGGGAGTGAAACACCACGTAAAGTGGATATTCATGAAGTGAGAGTACAAGTTCCATTACCTTGTAGCTCTAGTAAAGTTATTGTTCCTTATGCTATTGAACCAATCAATAATAATGAAGGACAAGTTAATGATCTCACTACTCATGAAGAGATCATTGTTGATGAACCGAATGAACCCATAGTAGAAGAACCACAACAAATAGCATTAAGAAGATCTCAAAGAGAAAGGAGACCTGCTATTTCTAATGATTATGTGGTATATCTACAAGAGTCTGAATTTGACATGGGTATTCAGGATGATCCAGTAACGTTTTCACAAGCCATGAATGGAGAAAATGGTGATAAATGGTTAGATGCTATGAAAGATGAGTTGAAATCTATGGAACAGAATAAGGTCTGGGATCTTGTTGAGTTACCAGAAGGGTGTAAGAGAGTTGGTTGTAAATGGGTCTTTAAGACCAAACGTGACTCTCATGGTAACTTGGAACGTTACAAGGCCAGACTAGTTTCAAAAGGATTCACTCAGAAAGATGGCATTGACTATAAAGAAACTTTTTCACCAGTCTCAAAGAAGGATTCTTTAAGAATTATTATGGCATTGGTGGCTCATTATGATCTAGAGTTACACCAAATGGATGTGAAAATTGCCTTTATAAATGGAAATTTAGATGAAGATGTGTACATGGACAAACCAATGGGGTTCATAGAAAAGGGTAAAGAGCACATGGTGTGCAAACTTAAGAAATCAATATACAGACTTAAACAAGCTTCACGGCAATGGTACCTTAAGTTCAATGATACCGTTGTTTCCTTTGGATTTAAAGAAAACATTGTTGATCGATGTATATATCTGAAGATCAGTGGGAGCAAGTTTATCTTATTGATTCTGTATGTTGATGATTTTTTGCTGGCAACTAACGATCTTGGTCTTTTAAATGAGACTAAGAAGTTTCTCTCTAGTAACTTCGAAATGAAAGATATGGGTGAGGCAGCTTATGTGATAGGAATAGAAATATTCCGTGATAGATCACAAGGACTGTTAGGTTTGTCTCAGAAAGCATATATTAATAAAGTTCTAGAGAGATTCAGAATGGAAAACTGCTTATCATCTTCAGTTCCAATTCAGAAAGGAGATAAGTTTAGTCTCATGCAATGTTAGTCTCATGCAATGTCCTAAAAGTGAATTGGAATGAAAAGAAATGGAAGCAATTCCATATGCATCATTAGTTAGGAGTTTAATGTATGCTCAGACTTGTACTAGACCAGATATTAGCTTTGCAGTTGGGATGTTGGGTAGATACCAAATTAATCCCGGTATAGATCATTGGAAAGCTGCAAAGAAAGTTCTGAGATATTTGCAAGGAACTAAAGGTCACATGCTTACTTATAGAAGGTCTAACAACCTTGAAGTGATTGGATACACAGATTCGGATTTTGCAGGATGCATAGACACAAGAAAGTCTACATGTGGTTACCTGCATCTTTTAGCTGAATAAGCTATATCATGGAAAAGTGCGAAGCAGACTGTAATAGCTGCATCCACTATGGAAGCTGAATTTGTGGCATGTTTTGAAGCCACGATTCAGGCTAAATGGCTACGGAATTTTTTTTCAGGGCTTGGATTGGTCGACAATATTGAAAAGCCGCTGAAAATTTATTGTGATAATTCCGCAGCAGTCTTCTTTTCTAAAAACGACAAGTATTCCAAAGGTGCTAAACATATGGAATTAAAGTACTTTGCCGTTAAAGAAGAGGTTCAGAAACATAGAGTGTCTATAGAGCATATTAGCACCGATCTTATGATAGCTGATCCTTTGACGAAGGGATTACCGCCCAAGACATTTACTGGTCATATATGTAGAATGGGCATTATGTCAGCTAGTGAATGATGAAAATTATAGTTATGCATTAAGTGTTGACACTCTGAGCTCATTGATGAATATATGTTTCTGTTATTGTCTTATTTTCAATTTATGGATGCATGCAAGTATATCTAATGATATTGAAAATAATTATGGTCCGTTATGAAGACATTATTGTTGGACATAATGTACACTTCCTATTAAAGTATCATGTTAGGAAGAAGAGTCAATATAGTAGTACATGGAAGGGACTATGCCGACTTGATAGCATACAACCGCCATGACTCATGTTGATTTTATTTCTAATAATGAATTATGATGACGTCAATGTATGGAACCTTTAGCCTAGTAAATGCGCATTATAGTGAATGTTAATTAAATCATGAAGGGACACCTTATGACATGAGCCAAGTGGGAGAATGTAAAAATATTTGTGTCTCATGTGTAACGTGTGTCAATTAATTTAATTAATAATAAAAGAGGCTTTATGGTAATTGACGTTTCGCATTAATGGTAATTGACGTTTTGCATTATGGTAACGTTTTGCATTAATGGTAATTGACGTTTTGACGTTTCGCATTATTAGGAAGTTACAGGGAGTTATTTGAAACTCCGTAACTGGTGACATGGTTCAGTTATATAAAGAGAAAAATGGTGAGTCTCTGATTATGATTATCTCTCAGAATTCTCTCCTTCATGGTCTGCCCATAAAAGTTGTATCAGATCCCTGTCATAGACGATACAAGGAAAGCAGAGGGTAAAGACTTTGAGAAACAATCTTCCATCATCAAAGTTCTTCCGCACTAATAGAGAAAGGTACGCTCTTATGTGAAACTCATGAATTCTAAAAATCCTCTTTCATGTTCTTGAATGATTACTGATGAACATGTATTACTGATTTACGGATAAAATTACTTACATGTATGTCTTCGAGTAGCATGTAATTTATCCTTCTTACGCATTAGTTATGAACCCGAGTTCAACTCATGACGAAAAATATGCATTATCCTAAAAAAATGAAATATGTGCTTACATAATCTCCAATGCTCAAGTTAATATGTGATGAAATTAAATATACCAAGTTTGAAATATACATGTGAAAACTTTGAACGATGGTGAAGACCTCTACTTATGCATGGCAGGGTGAAGTGTTAACCCTCTTAGAATACATGAGAAGAATAAAGAGTTATGAATTTGGTTAATTTTCCTTACAAGAGTTGTTATTTAAATAGATATTTACAACTGCCATCTTTGTCTTAGTGTAGGGAGTGAGGAAATATGGCATCAGAAGCCAATCCAGAACAATTGGAACAGAAATAATATTTATCATACAACTTTTGCTGCAGACGTCAATCAAAACTAATTGTAAAATAAAATAAAATAAAATGTACTACTCAATATTTATCATCTAAATGGCGATTTTCATGCTGCCAGTTAAATTACACAGAAGGGAAACCCAATTAGATAAATAGGGCAATGTTACAGACTCCAAGCACACTTTACATCAATATAGATTACAGTTATAGCTGGGTTGTGGATGATCTTGAGGCCAATAATGAAGTTAGAATGAGATCTAAGGGATGGCCATTAATAAGAAAGAAAAATCCATTAGTAGGCAAGCACTACTTGAGTGATACTGGGAGGACTTTCTGAAGTCATCAAGACAACCAATGGCAGGAAAATAAACTTTTACAATAGAAACTCAAGGACACTTCCTTTGGATATATGAAGCTCCATGCTCTTCATACCTATCAGAAGTGCGTCAAAACAATTGAGTTAAAGGATATCCTTAATAGGAAAATTTGAAAGAACAATTATGCTTTTCTTATGATGAAAGGTGGCAAAAAATAAAAGGGCAAGAAATAGGATTTGTGAAATATATTTTAAAATTTATGCAATAGTATAACCGTAAGTATGGGTGAACAGTAGATAATTACTCGGATTTGGAGAACCACATTTGCTGGAAGGAGCCAAGAGAAGCCAATATACTACCCCCTATCCAAACACTGCACATAAAGTCACCATGAGTAAATTTCACCAAATATACATATGAAATTTTCATATAACCACATTCACATAAAGTCACTTTATATGCTGATATGCACAATTCGGAAGGCCTAGAATTAACCATATAAAACAAAGGGATTTACATTTCTCCTGCAACATGAGATAAAATTAAACAAAAGATAAAGTTATCTCCTACAACCTCAAAACTCTTTTTGGGATTTGAGAAAAAAAATGCTGGATATTTTAAGGGTGTGTTTGGTTGAAGGATTTTTGTAAAGAACCTTGAGATACACCACCTCAAAAGCTAGCTCAAAGGGTGGGAGTGCCCAAGGCCTTATAAACTCCACATTAGTTGCACATACAACCAATGTGGGACTATATATCTCAACACACCCCCTCACACAAGAGCCCATTGGGCTTGAAGAGTGGACAATGCAACAGGCCCAGCCTACCTGTGCTAAGAAACGCCACAAGAGAAAGTGGGGGGCGGCGAGGCTCTGATACCATGTAAAGAACCTTGGGATACACCACTCCAAAAGCTAGCTCAAAGGGTGGGAGTGCCCAAGGCCTTATAAACTTCACATTAGTTGCACATACAACTAATGTGGGACTATATATCTCAACAATTTTGTTGAGATTGATAGGCAAATGAGAAGTGGGAATATAAGGTAACCATGTTTGGTGAAGGAGGTTCCATACTTACCTACCTAAATCATTATCCTACCAAACCAATCTGCATATCTATTTGTGTCGATATAGCCGGCGAAAGTTTCCCTTTTCATATGTGGTATTGCTCAAAAGCTACCTATTTGCTCACATTGTTAGTTAACCAAAAGACGAGCGTACCCTCTGTTCTACTGTGGTGAGTTTCAATACATGTTTTCTTGTGGGTTTATTTGGGAAAGAAAGAAATCGCTTTGGAATGTGTCAGAGTGGTTTACTTGTTGCTAGTTTAAGCCTTTTTGGCTTTGATTCTTTCTTTCCTAATATCACGACCCAAACTTTAGTTGTGAGAAGTTCTTCCAAGAGAAAGCTAAGAGAAAGCTATTAAATTTGTAGTTATCAAAGGCCTTACTCATTCAATCCAGGCCTGCTTTTTTGTTTCCTTCTGTATACTTATAATCATAATGATAATGTAATATGGTTTAGCCAAAAATTATATTGAAAGTTAATGGGATTGTAAATCATCAGGTGAAATCTCGAGCAATGGAAATAGCAAAGTTGATTGAGAATGAAGATGGTGTTGCTGCTGCAGTTGATGCATTTCATCGCCATCTGCCTGATGAGCTACCACTGCCAACTCCATCTCCAGTGGAGGAGGACAACCCAAGTCCTTTGCAGTGGTTTTTTCTCCAACTTGCACAGTGGTGCTGTGTGCCTTGTGGTGGTGTAGTAGTTTTACATATCGGTAGGATGATAACCCCAAGTCCGTTGGCAACACACATGTTTTACATATGGACGTTGGCAAATGATAACCCTCTTTACAAAAGGGTAGGATGCCTAATTCAAGATTTTTTGAAAAACAAGGTTATTTTCGTAATAGCACATTTTTCCCCATCTATATTTTACCAAAAGCTAAACATAGATTTTACAAAAGTTACCTAATTTTTCTAGTAAAATTTTTCCCAACCAAACAACTATTTTTATATTTTCCTACCAAACTCACTTCCCAACCATTTCCCTACTAATCACATTTCCCTATGATTCATAAAAATTTCTCCTCAACCAAACGCTCCCTAATAAAATCCATGATACATAGAAGAAAGTAAAATTTTCAAAATACCCAATATTTTTTTCTTAAATCCCCAAACGATATCGTTTTGGGATTACCGGAGATAATTTTATCTCCTTTTGCAAAAGAAACATTATTTTCTAAAATGAAACAAATTTCTTGAATTTATGATAAACCATAGTAGTAAATCACGAGAAAATTAGCCAGAAGAGGCGGAAAATATAAATGGAAATGGTAATGGCATCATCAAAATTATAAATGAGTGCATTGACAGAGAGATAGATATCGCACCTAAACCTTCTTTCAGTAGCATTTCCACTGGCCAATACTTTTACTCTAGCAGCTTGAGGGGACTCCTGAATCAGAAATGAAATTGTATTCAATTTCTAAAACTAGAACTAACCTTTCCAGCTTTTTGAAAAACACAGACAATCCCATGCCACCTGATGATATAATTATAAAAGATCAAATGTATTGATATTTAATAATATTATAAACTAAAATCTGATTCCTGAGAGAAATTTTGATAAATGTTTTCAACTTAATTGTTTTCTCTTGAAAGTGTCAGAATGCAGAAGCTTTGGCTACAGCCTTATAATCCAGTTCAAGCATGATCTTACAGAACTACATTGTGCTTTACAATTATATCGTTAGTTTTCAATTAAAACACAATATATCACCTAGAAAACAGATTCAAAATGTTTTATAAAGCAAAGTTTCAAACACTTGATGACAAAGGAGCATTTCCAGTTAAACACTCACAAGCATTCAAATTCTCAAATTAAGATTTTTACCTTGTCACTGGTTACTTTTCTTTCTTAAGATAATTCAATACGAAAGTAGCATAAAAAGTCACGTACAATATCATCCCAAAAGTATGCAAAGGAAAATATACGTCAAATCGAAAGAGCTGTCCAATTCCTAGCAAGTTCGTCCAAGAAACACCCCACAGAAAACCATATGCCTACTTCTCTTCAAAATTATGTTTGGAAGTAACAAAAAGCAGCAAAAACTCCACAAACCCTACAGAGAAGCCAAATATATCTATCCTGATCTACAAAACCTGCCAAGACAAAATCCTATGGCTTAAAATTCTATAATTAAAATCTAGACAGACGCACTAAGTCCCTGCTGTGAAGTCTAACACTCTTAGTCCTACCAAAATTGGATAAAAAAAAGTGTCAGATTTGGGAAAACCCTGCGCTGCACAAAAGTTAAGAAACAAGTAAGGTCCCTGTACAGCTGTACTAACGGAAGCCAGCACAGCAAGAATGGACCAAGCTATTTTGATATTTAGTATGAGACACCAACTAAACCCACTTGAATGTTACCCCTTTGAAATCACATGTTAAAACAACATAAATAGAAAAATATTTAAGTGTAAACCAAGCTGTAAATGTAATTAAACTCAGCAACAACAAAATTGCCATTAAGTAGATGAATAGACAAGGGCTTATTTGTTAGACTAAACCTCTAGCAAGTCTTTCTCAAGGCGTTCCTTCAGTTGTTGCATTGAAGCTGTGCCACCAGCAAGCTGCATGTGATAAATGAAATCAATTTTTAATTGCCCACGTAATGTGTTGTGATAAGCGTCCATCATATTTTTCAATACAACAAAATGTAAAACATATCAAGCACATAACTTAGCCTATACATATGCTCAAAGTATACATAGATAATAAATATGTAAATCATATGGCTTCAGCAAATATCTTGCCAACAATTCTGCCCTCCTCTCAAAATAACTCAAAAATTCTCCATAAAAAAAAGGATGGCCCACTGCATGAGGCTCCTATGGCTTAGATATATGCAGCCTTACCCTGTATCCATATTTTTTTTCAATGTCCAACCTAAACTAAATTAAGCTCTACATAGGAACCGGCTAGAGTATATATACGTAGTAATCAAAAGAGAAGGCAACACTAAATTACATTACCAGTATGCTACTAAATAATTCTCTTCGAATGTCTACATCACACTTGTTAATGCTTTCTATAACCTGCAAGTATTCAAAGGAATAGTAAAACCATCAAGCACAGAAAGTCAAAACCCAACGATATCCTAAAAAATATAGTCACAGTAAATTAGACTACCATTTGAGGCAGGCCACGAACCGAAGGAGCAATTTCTGTGAAGTTCTCCATGCCAGGAATTGACTGTGATTTACATTCACACATAAGAAATTTAGTACACAGAAGAACAAAAGAACAGGAATATTGATTATAAAGTAATTCACAGAACCACAGAACAAAATAGAAGCACAACTAAAAAATGAACTAGCAAGATTGCTCATTGCAGCAAACACCCAGCCAATCTGCAAGATAATTTTGCCAGGGGCCAGGCTGGGAAAAGGGGAGAAAAAGAGTTCAAAAAATCTAAACTGTTTATTATAGTCTGAAGAAAAAAAGAAAAAAGAGAGGACAAAACAAAAAAGAAAACAACTCTTTAACTCATGCTTTCCATTGTTATCAGAATTGCATTTCATGCAATTGCATGCAGTTCGGAAATATGGAAATACAGAATCATGCGTTTACTCCAATGAATTACTACTGAATTAGCAGAATCGTAGTTCTGCTGCATATCGTGTGATCTTAACACAGCTGGGTGACATGCGAAAACATGTTGGGTCATGCACAACCCAATTTGAAGGTGCCAAACTTTCCTCTCCAATCATACCCAGTCAAAATATAAGGGAGAGAAAAAAGAAAAAAAATACACCCCTATTCTTCTCTACTGAAATGGCTCACCACCCTCTGCCTGTCCCCCCATTGCACATGCTTTGCTAGGTATGATGATAACTTAGATCAACCAAATCCAAACTGATAACAGCACATGATTCTGCCATATAATCCCTAAAATTTTGGATTGCCCCGTGTAGTTGAAGGCACCACAAGGCCCACGTTAGGAACTAAGGCAAAGCAAGGGAAAGGTCTGGCGCTTTTGGCTCTTTGAGAAGCACACTTCTCACGCCTTGACAGCGCTTTTTCCTCAATGCAGAGGCGCTCCACGTGCCTGACTAATGGGCAGTGGCTTGACATACCCCAGGCCATAAAAGTTGTCAGCTTTCACATAAATTACAACAGATAAGGCTCCTCTAAATGAGCAAGAAAGGGTGTATCTACCCCTAATTTAATTTAAAGTAGATCGTGATCTTAACCTACTAAAATTTAGAGGTGGATATACCCTTACTTGCACACTTTAGAGACAAATTCACTTTAGAGGAGCTTTTTCCTAATACAAAAATTAAAGGTGGTAAGAAATGTCAGCCACTGCCAAAACAAACAGTTACTTCTTTATTTTCAATTGTTCTTCTACTCTTTTTTGTATATGATTTGGCACTTTCTGTGACAACTTCAAACTTGATTCTATTATGTTTGCACCACCAACGAACACTTTCAATTCCTAGCGAATCCATTATCCAAGAATCACTGCTCTGGCAGTCTGGTTTATTTGCTTTGCTCCTGTGTTTGTTTAATATTTTCAATTGCATGCCACATGTTGCAGCTACATTTGTCTGCTTTATTTTTATTTTTTAGCGGAGTTGTTTTCTGTTTACTTGCAGCATGCTCTGTTTTTGTATCTTGACCTGCATTTGCTTACAAATGCTGTGTCATTGATAACACTTCAGTGGCTTTATTTTTATTTTTTTTGTTCTCTCTATTTATATTCTATATGCTTTCTCCTTCATGTCACAACCTGCATGTGTTTTCAACTGCTTTTTTTCTTGGTACAAAACAGCTTTTTTTATTTAAAGTAATAACATAAATTTATAATTTTATTTCACCAAAAAAATCTTGAATGATAAATTTTTTGTTACATTTTCCTTTTACTTTTACAGTACCAATAGCAACAACGAGTATTGTTGTAACTTGTAAGAGTGGATAAAAGAAATGTGGGGTAGCAAGAATTTAGGGAATGTTTGATTTCTATTTCTGAAAATAGTTTTTAAGATTTTAGATCAAAAAAATAAAGGGAAAAATATTTAAAGAACAGTTATTTTAGTTAAAATTACTGTTTCTTATTTAATATTTTAATTAAAAAGAAAAATCTCTCACTTTCTCCCACCATGATTTCTATTGTGTAACAGTTTCTCTTACCATAAAACACAATAATTTTGACTAAAATGACACAATTCTATGTATTTTAAAAGGACAAACACTAATCCAATAAGTCCCACAACAATAACTATTTTTAAGTTTTTAAAACGGGATTAGTATTTGTCCTTTTAAAGGACATAGAATTGTGTCATTTTAGTCAAAACTACTGTGTTTTATAGTGAAAGAAATGGAAATCATGATGGGGAAAGTGAAAGGTTTTTTTTAATTTAAATATTAAATAAATAATAATAATTTTAACTAAAATGACTGTCCTTTAAAAGAACAAATATTTTTCCCTTTTAAAACTAAAATTGACAAACTTAGACATGTTTTCATAAATTGTTTTGTGGTTTTATCATTTTTGCAATGGCAGTTTTGTAATTATGAAAATTCATTAATGGCACTTATGTAAATAAATTTAATTTCTTTCAATTTTAGATTTTTTTACGTTATGAAGATTTTTCATGACATTTTTATAAATAAAACCAACTTGTTTTTAACTTTAAATCCAACTATATTCAAATAATTTTTTTTGTTTTTGTGTTCTCAAAATAAATTTTTAGACTTTATACTACAAAACAGTTTTGAAGAACTTAAAAACAAAATCAAATTCTTAGGCTTTTATTGAATATGATTTTGTTTTTTTTTTTTTTAAATGTTTTGAATCTGAATTTTGAAAATAGAAACACAATAAAACTTGTTTAAATACAATTGGATTTAAAGTTACAAAGAAGTTTTACCAAAAAAAAAAAAAAAAGTTATAAAGAAGTTGTATTTATTTACAAAAATATCACTAATGAACTTCCATAATTATAGGGTTGCCACGAAACAATTTAAAATTGAAAAATTAGATTTATTTACAAAAATACCATTAATGTATTCTCAGAATTACAAAATTGCCACCACAAAAACAATAAAACCAAAAAACATTATTTGAGAAAATCCATAGGTTGTTCTCCATTTTTAGTTTTAAGAACTAAAAGCCAATTACTGCCTTGGGAGTCATTTTTAAAAAATACATTTTTCAAAGAATTTTTTTTATTTTTTTATTCTAAACACTAAAAAACTGTTTTTAGTTCTAGTTATTAGCGGCAAACTTCAGTGAGCCGTCCACCTTTTGGCACCTCTCACCTCAAGGTGTTGAAAGCCCTTTGCACGTTAAGGGCACCTTTCGCCTTTGAGTACCTTACCAGAAGTCTAGAATATTTCTAAGAACATGCATATCATAATCCTTCATATCAGATGGACAATAAGATAAATTATTAACGTTTTTGCACGCAGGCCACACACCTGAACCAGGTACGGATTGAAAAGTATGTCTGGAATCTTAAATCTGTCTGCTCCGATTTCAATGGTCCTGTGTTATAAAAAAAGTTAAGAAACAATACCAGACAATAAAAATATAAAATACGGATAAAGCAGAAGCAATAAATAAGCTATGATGTACATATGATAATGATAGCATATACTAGAACGTATTTTGAAGATGAAACATAATTTAATCCAAACTCCTCCCTATTTCTATAGGCAAGAATAATTTCAACTTACTGGCCATCAGGAAGCTCATATGGGGTCATTGGAATGTTTGAATATGCTTTCTCTGTCAAATAAAGGAAGAAAAATGGATGTCATATACAGAAACTGCTCGTACTCAATTCTATTAAAGCCAAGAAGGTAAAAGCATCTTCTGGAGCTACAAAAGTATAAAGAATTCACTGAAGACATGTATATCTTAATATCTTTATAATTAAATCACATCATTGAAAAATGTCACGTATGACCTGCGTGAAAGCAGATACCAAGTAAAGCAAATCACATTACAAGAGGCGTAACAGATCAAGTAATCTAATTCAAAGAGGTATACAAAGAGAAGAAAAGGAAGGAAAAAGAAACAGAGAATTCCACCATAAAAGCTAGGCACTTTATCCACAAATGCCTTCAAAAGAACACAAGCACAGGACCAACAAGATTCAAAACATTATACGAGATGAGAAAAGGTAGACAAACCATCATATGGAGTATCTGGAGCACGGCATACACATTCCTTGATGTCACTAGCAATCACCCTCTGTCACAAGAGAACAGTCATCAGATAAACAAAACACAACATCTAATGAGATATATTACATGATGACTAACAGACCTGGGAGTAGAGTTTGTAGCTTTCAGTTGTATTTGGAAAATCAAGATCTACAGTCTGTAGGATTCAGAAAAAAATTAAAAAAGATAATAAGAAACAATAATCATTTATGTATAGAATTGCAGTTACAACAAATATCATATTGAAAGGTAAAAGCAAGAATCTAAATTAAAGTTAATTTAATGCTACTAACAAAATGAAGACTGGGCAACTTTGCTCACTATAATTTTACCCAAAAGTTCAAAAAGTTCTTTTAACTTAATATTTGTCAAATAAAGTAATAACAGATAAGGGGTAGCGTATGTAACTGAAATAAATGAGTTAGATAAACTTGAAAGAAAAGGGTATTTGAAATATTATTGAATTGTGTAAATAATCTGTACAAAGAGGTCTCTATTTATAGAGAATGAAAAACCCTAATACTTGACCTAATGGGCTTGGCCCAATACAACAAATAATAATAATCAAATAACCAATATTTACAATACTCCCCCTCAAACTGAGGAATAGATATTTATCATTCCCAGCTTGCTAGTAAGTTCTTGAAATCTGTCTGAAGGAAGTCCCTTTGTTAATAGATCAGCCAATTGACGCCCAGTGGGAATGTATGGAGTGGTAATCAGCCCACTATCAAGTTTCTCTTTGATGAAATGACGGTCAACCTCAATATGTTTAGTCCGATCATGTTGAACTGGATTATGAGCTATACAAATAACGGACTTATTATCACATAGCAGCTTCATAGGTCCCTCATATTTTATTTTGAGATCATCAAGTACAATTTTCAGCCACAATAACTCAAATGCCTTAAGCCATAGCTCGAAATTCAGCTTCTGCACTTGATCTGGCGACCACATCTTGTTTCTTACTTCTCCATGTCACCAAGTTACCGCAAAGAAACATGCAATAACCAGTGGTAGAACGACGGTCAGTCACGGATCCAGCATAATCAGCATCAGTGTAAACTTCTAAAGAGAGATTGTCATCACGTCGGAATAACAAGCCTTTACCAGGAGTAGCTTTAAGATACTGAAGAATTCTCTCTACTGCCTGCATGTGTTTCTCCTTTGGATCGTGCATAAACTGACTGACAACACTAACAGCATAAGCTAGGTCTGGTCTAGTATGAGCCAGATATATCAATTTCCCAACTAGCCGTTGATATTGTCCTTTATCAACTGGAGGACTCTCCTCTTCATAGCCTATCTTGTGGTTCTGCTCAATAGGAGTATTAGAGGGTTTACACCCGAGCTTTCCTGTTTCTTTGAGAAGATCAAGAACATATTTCCTCTGGCTGATAAAAATTCCTTTCCTTGAATGAGCTACTTCTATCTTTAGGAAATATCTCAGTTTCCCAAGGTCTTTGACTTCAAACTCAGAGGCAAACCGTGTTTGCAGAATCTGTTTCTCCACAAAATCATCACCTGTGATAATAATATCATCAACATATACAAGGAGCACAGTAAGCTTCCCATTACGGGAGTGCTTGAAGAAAAGAGTGTGATCTCCTTGACTCTGTCTGTATCCTAAGGTCATCATAACCTTAGTAAACCTTCCAAACCAGGCACGAGGTGACTGCTTCAATCCATATAAGGCCTTTTTCAATCTACAAACTTTATTTTCTCCCTTCACAGAATCAAAACCAGGCGGGATTTCCATGTAGACTTCTTCCTCTAACTCACCATTGAGGAAAGCGTTTTTCACATCAAATTGATTTATATCCTAATTGTAATGGGCAACAAGGGATAACAAGACTCTCACCGTATTCATCTTTGCAACTGGAGCAAATGTTTCTTCATAATCAATGCCATAGGTTTGAGTGTAACCTTTGGCAACTAACCGAGCCTTGTATCTCTCAAGAGTTCCATCAGAATTATATTTCAGGGCATAAACCCATCTGCACCCTACTGATTTCTTTCCATTAGGTCTATCAATAACCTCCCATGTTTTATTTTTCTCCAACGCATTCATTTCCTCTTGCATGGCTTGAGCCCAATTCCCATCTTTCAAGGCTTCATGTACTGATTTTGGGATTGCAATAGAGTCTAGTGCTGAAACAAAACTTTTGTGCTGCACAGAAAGATTAGCAGAGGAAACAAAATGGGAGATAGGGTATTGAGTACAAGAGGGACAGGAAGAACAAGATTTCTTGGGACAAGATCTTTTTCCTTTTCTAATAGCAATGGGTAAATCATCAGAATCAGTAGTAATAGGTAAGTCATCAGAAGTATTAACATCATGATCAGAAATATGAGATTCAGGACTTACCAGTGGTTCAGACGATTGAGGTTGCTGCTGAGGCAATGTGGGTTGTTTCCTTCTTTGATATACCAACTCAGGTGTCATAATCTTCCGTATCTCTGGTGTACTTGATGTATCAGTCACAGGAGGATCACTCACAGGAGGATCAGACACAGGAGGAACATGAACAAGAGTAGGATACACTGACACAGGTAAAGGAGTAGATACTGAAGATTCAAACTCAAAGAAGGGAGGTGATGAGTTTTCTGGTGAAGGATTCTCCCCCTGAAGATGAGGAGCTTGGAAAAAGGACTCAGATTCTTGAAATGTAACATCCATAGAAACAAAAAACTTCCTACAACCAGGGTGATAAAACTTGTAGCCCTTCTTATCAGGAACATAACCAAGAAAAACACATTTAATAGCCCTAGGGTCCAACTTACTGCGATGATGTTTATGAACATGAACAAAAGTAACACATCCAAACACTCGTTGAGGAAGACTCATAGTTGGAATAGAAGGGAAAAAAGAAGTCATAGAGTAAATAGGACTTACATGGTCAAGTACCCGAGTGGGTAAACGGTTGATCAAGAATGCTGCAGTAAGAATAGCATCTCCCCAATAGTATTTGGGTATATGTGTCTGAAACATTAATACACGAGCCACTTCAAGAAGGTGACGATTTTTTCTTTCAGCAACCCCATTCTATTGGGGGGTGTCAACACAAGTAAGTTCATGAATCATACCGTTATTTCGTATAAATTGAGAAAAACTATGATTAACATATTCAGTACCATTATCTGTTTTTAGTCTCTTGATTTTTTTTAAATTTGGTCTCAACCATTTTATAAAATTGAAAGAACAGTTGTGATACCTCAGACTTTTCACGCATTAAGTAAACCCAAGTTACACTAGTGCAATCATCAATAAAAGAAACAAACCATCTATTTCCAGAAGCGTGAGGGACTTTAGAAGGACCCCAAACATCAGAATGAATAAGATCAAAGGGTGCAACACTCTTAGTAATACTAGAAGGAAAAGACACATGATGATGCTTAGCAAATTCACAAACATCACAATGAAAAGACTCAACAGGCTTAGACAAAAACAATGACGGAAATAAAGACTTGAGTAAACTAAATGGAGGATGTCCCAAACGCTTATGATGAAGCCAAATCAAAGAATCAGCAGTTGATTGACCATGAGACATCAAGATGTGATCTGTTACTTTAGTTGCGGGAGATTGTGACACCAGATAGTACAGCCCACCTTGCTCTTTAGCATTACCAATCGTCTTCCCCGTGGCGAGATCCTAAAAAACACAATGGGTAGGGAAGAAGGTTACAGTACAATTCAAATCTTTTGTAATTTTATGAATAGAAAGAAGATTTGTGGAGAGTTTAGGAACATGAAGAACATCTTTAAGATGTAAGGACTGTTGTAAGTTTATGTCACCAGAACCCGCAACTGATGTATGTGAGCCATCAGCTACGGCTATTGTATGAGTTCCAATGGTGGGATGATAAGAAGTAAAGGAGTCACCACAACAAGCCATATGATCAGTAGCACCAGAATCAACAACCCAAGAATGTTTAAAATCATTACATGAAGAAAGGAAAGAATAAGTTTTGGAGCTCATACCAGTCATAGTCAAAGCACTAGTATCAGATGGCTTACTCAGAGAATCAAGGATGATTGGGAGCCGTTCCAACTCATCTGGACGAAATGCAGGTTGGGTCTCATTAGGTGCAGAAGTTATTTTAGTAAAATGCGGTTGACCACGCATCCTAGCCATCTTTTCTAAGACAGTTTGCTTTCCATGGAAGCGAAAGCATAGATCCTTGATATGACCTGTTCTTTTACAATAAGAACACCATCGATCATCTCTCTTAGATCTAAAAGATGCACCATCAGAAAACTTTGTAAAGGAACTTCTTTGAGAAGAGGTCATACTGCACAAAAAATGGTCAAAGGATAACACCAAGAAGCCAAAAATCACAAAAAAAAATACCAAACGACATCCGATCTGAGAGGAGAGCACAGATCCAGAAAGAGGATGAGGAGAAGATCAGAAAACTTTTTGGCCGGAGCTGGAAAAAGTGGCCCACGCGCCTCCACGCGCCGGTGGAGGTGTCTGCGAGTGGGCCTCACTCGCCGGGAGTGTGGCGGCGCGTGAGAGCGCGTGCGGCGGCCGCCGGAGCTGAAATTTTTGCGGAGAGGTCGTCCGACGGTCGCGAACCTGTCTGTGGCCGGTCAGAGTTGAAAGGTCGCCGGAAAAGTGTCCAAAACGCGATGAACAGTAGCGGCCTTGTGTTGTTTTGGAAAGATCCGATCGTCAAACGATTATAACACGTCCGTAAGCTGATAAATCAGAGAAAAAGGATTTGAAAACTGGTCCTCTTGGTCCAAAATGTCCACCGGAAAATTGGCGGCTAATGGCGGCAAGAGGCTAAGAAAGAAGGTTTCTGTTTTAACGGAGGTAATTGCGGAAGCAGAGCCCTCAGGATCGAGAGCTCTGATACCAACTTGAAAGAAAAGGGTATTTAAAATATTATTGAATTGTGTAAATAATCTGTATAAAGAGGTCTCTATTTATAGAGAATGAAAAACCCTAATACTTGACCTAATGGGCTTGGCCCAATACAACAAATAATAATAATTAAATAACCAATATTTACAACAGATAACAACACTTCATTCTCTATCTTGGTTGTCCTTATCCATGTATAATATACCTAACCCCATTCTCTATTAAATAGCTTTAAAATGAATTTGCTTAACTTGCACAAACTTTCAGTAAAGATTCTACTACTAGTAGATCAAACAAGAGGTAAATTATTCGGTCCAAATCACATAGCAGCAGCGGACTGACACATGTAAATGTTACCAAATTTCATCCATTAATTCATCAAGATTCAAAAAAATTCAAGAGGAACAATGAGTTAAAAGAGATGAAAAAAATGAAGTACTGAAACCAACCACATGTCCTGGAGGCACAAACTGGACAATATATAAGGACTGGAAAGTGGAAACCCATATGGCCGAAGTTCAAAATTTAGGGAATGAATGAAAAAAAGATCGATGCCTCGTACATTGATGATTGCAAAAATATTGAAGATAAAAGCCATGTTACTCACGGGTCATTAAAATGAAAACAAAGTATACCTGAAACTCTCCGGGGCGTATTTCCTTTCTCCTAAATGAATACCGTGGTTTTATCTGTGACAACAAAAAAGGGAGAAATCTCAGGCAGATAAAATCACAGCAACATCACTTCAGATGAGCACCGAAAAATTTAATAGCTCATGTTTGTCACTCACCACGATACCCTTGCTTTCCAAGCTTTTCATCAAGCAGTCTGTAAGAAATTCTCCTCCAATCGGAGAGGTTGCGACAGCCTTGTGTTTTCAACATAGTAGAAGATATGAGCAGACAGAAAGACTTGAAGTATTAGCCAAATCTCAAATATAAATGCTAGGGTAAAATGGCATCTTAAATTATTAATTATATATATATATATATATATATATCAAGAAAACAGGTTGAAAAACATTATAAATATGCAGAGCATACATGAATGAAGAGACATTAGTTTGTAACTACTTGGGCATGCATTAGTGCCTCACATTCACAGATACAATTATGCATAGCCACTCTCTTCCAATTTTTAACTATTGGTTGTGCTTTTGTAAAACATAATGGCAAATGATCGAGTAGTGCTATGGACGATAGCCTATATACGTTTGTTCATATTTGACTACATAACCTAAAATCTATGTATCTTATATACTAAAAGACATAAGTAGTAATTACATTATTAGAAGACTATACAACCAGGTTATTTTTCCAGATTTACTTTCATCCATTTAATGTATATAATTCTCGTTGTTAATCAAATAATCCATTATATCATTTCAAATATTTCTACAGCCTGTTTCAACCTTTGAGCCTTAAAACCTTTCTACGATCAATCCAGTTTCAGAAAGAGTGGTGCATACAGAATTACGGATAAAGGCAGCTATAATAACATTAAAACCACATCCAAGAAATTGGAAAATAAACTCAGCATTGAAATTATAATCAAAATATGATTCAATTCAGTTACACAACAACAATTAAAAAATTACCTTTTGAAGAACATAACCGTCATGTACTGGTGCCACTGTAGTTGATCCTCCACCACTGAGTACAATGAAATAATAAAGAAAACCTCTCATCAGTAACATATCCAGCTTTATACTGTGGTATATTAAAAATAAAAACCATAGAACTAATACACTGAATTCTGAAAGTTATACTATTTCTCTCCCCCTTTTCAATTTTCTCAATTGAATTCTCATATTTTTATCAAGCAACTAGCTCTCCCAAAAGCTTAAGCTATCAGGTAAAGGCAGATAAATGGTTTTATATTTTATATTATATTTCTAACAAGCTTCCTCACATAAGAAGAGGGGGAGCATTGGAGCAATGGTAAGGTTGGTACTTGTGACTAGAAGGTCACGAGTTTGAGTCTAGAAAGCAATTTTTTTGCAAAAATGCAAGGGTAAGGTTGCGTACAAATAACCTTCACCCCTACCTTCACAAGTCGGGAAGCCTTGTGCACTAAGGCTTGCCCGCTTGCACAAGAGCCCATTGGGCTTGAAGAGTAAACAATACACAAACTCACCTACCTATGCTAAGAAATACCACAATATTTATTAGAAAAATGGGGGCAACAATGATCAAACTCTTAACCACTTGGTCACCGAGGCTCTAATACTATGTGAAGCAACCAGCTCTCCCAAAAGCTTAAGCTATTAGGTGAAGGCAGATAAATGATTTTGTATTTTATATTATATTTCTAACATGTTTAAAGTTGTTTAATTTGGTCCCCAACACCCCCCGGAAAAAAGAAAAAAAAACCGTGTTGAACTTAAAGAGGTTCAACTTTCATCACTATCAGCCTCCTACGTTGTCTATAATATGATGCTTAACTCATTACATATTTTGGAATATAACACTGCCAATTTCACTGATACGTCCAGAGAATAGTCACATCGCATAGTAAAAAACCAAAATGATGACATTAGAATAGTCAAGCAGGAAAAGGATAATCTTGAGTCATGTTGACATATACATATTAAAAAACTTCCAGACAGTTATTCTGTAACTGAAAGTATGCAAAATTTCTGTTCCAGTAGTACTGAAATTAAAATAATATTATCATGTGTCATTCTTGACTATTTATTGTGATTACATACATAAACTTGCCTTTATCCTGCTACTAAAGTAAAAGTCAAATTCTTTCTGTTAGGCCTCATACAACTACTACTTTGAGGACAGTGTAAGGGGCAGAAGAGGAATTCGGACTGTAAACGGTTGTATAAACCTTGACTACATGCCAAGGAGAGTGGGAAAATGAGGAAGTTGGTTAGGAGTAAGGATAAAAGGGGACTGAAGGATCTGGGAGAGGTAGGCAAGAATTGACTATGGTGGAGAGGATTTGGCCTATTGGGAGGGGTGGGATATTCTGTCGGTCAGCAGAATTTCCCTTGTTAATTTTGTTCTTTTGCATTTTCTTGGTGATTTCAGTTTCAGAAGAGGGCTACCTTTTCTTGTAAGGAGCTTGATCTCCATAGTTTCCACTCTAATTCCAATTTCCCATCACTCTCCTACTATATTTGGTAATATGGGCCATCTAAGGCATAATGAAACAAGACAACCAGAACTTAACTTTTCTATATATAATATCTTAAAAGTAGGGGTGTTCATCAACTAATTCAAACCGCGGTGACCGAACCGAAAAACCGATAACCGAAAAAACCGAAAATCGAAAAAAAAATCGCAAATTTTAATTGGATTGGATCAGATTTCGGATTGGTTGATGAAAACCGATCCAATATATTAATTCCCTTCTACCTACGTGGGTCTTCCCCCCAATTATAACCCAAAAACTTCTAAACCCAAGACCCATCAACTAAACCAAAGAAAAAACTTAGTCACATCTCATCAACAAAATTTCATCTATGAAAAGCTTTATATCTCATTGTCAAAAAAAAAAAAAACTATATTATCGTTTCCTAATGCTTTTGTATTTCAAAAAAAAAATTACAAAGCCAATATCTGCAAAAGATGTTATTTGCATAATAATTATGAAACAAATTTTAGGATTTTCAAAAAACCGAAAACCGATCCAATCCAAACTGAAAAAAATTGGATTGGATCGGATCGGATTTGAAAAAAAATTCAAACCGAATGGATGATTACATGATCAAACCGATGGGATTGGATCGGATGATTTTTGCTTCCAAAACCGATCCAGTCCAGACCGCGAACACCCCTACTTAAAAGGTTGGCAATTGATATACAGAAATGAAGAAAAAATCATCTGTCCATATTGATATTACCAAGGAATAAGAACAACAACAACTTCATGATCTCTCACCTATCAACAACTAATGACGTAGCACGCCCTGATGCAAAAGAAGTCAGAACCTGTTTGTCAAACAAAATGTATAAATTTTCAGTAGTTTTCCATTCACACTCGGTAACATATATTCGGTTAGAGATATAGGCCAGTGCAGAACTATTCACTTACAGCATTCTTAGCCAAAAACAATGCAGGTGCTTTGTACTTCTCAAACATAAGCTCCGCTGTCCTGCCAGAATCAAAACAAACTGAATTATACATATTGATGTCTTAAACTGAGCTCTATTAATTCTAGATAATAAATTATAACTAGGATACCTTTCCCTCTGTTGTTGAGTGTTAGAAGAAGGCTCTGCAAGGAGCATTGGATGCTCTTTAGGATCAATCAATAGGCACTCCCTACCAAAAAAAGAAAGTATCCAAGTTAAGAATAAGGGGGCGTTTGGTTGAGGAGAAATTTTTTGAATACTAGGGAAATGTAATTACTAGGGAAATGGTTGGAAAGTGAGTTTGGTAGGAAAGTTAAAAAAAAGTTGTTTGGTTGGTCAAAATTTTACCAGGGAAATTGAGTTAAATTTTGTGAGTCTTTGTTTGGTTGAAGGTGAAATAATGATGGGTAAATGTGTTGAAATACCAAAAATAACCCTTGATATTTTAGAGATGTAGACATGTGTACTTAGAAGAGGGCAATATGGTAACACTCTTCATTCACCTTTTTGCATTTTAGCTAGTTTTCTAGGAATACCACATACTAAATGGTAAAGTTCTACCATGATTTGCTTTTGATTTTGCACATACTTGTGAAGGATGGGGAAAAGAGAAGCATAGCTAAATTTTTTTAATCTTTCTACCAAACAAAACAATCATAGAATACCACTTCAAGATAGATGGGGAACCAAATAAAAAACTTCAACCAAACGCCCCCTAAAGCAATTCCTAAGGTTTATGAGACAAAATACTTAGGAAAAAATACATGGGAAAAATCATCAAAAACCAGAAAGAAAACAAATCATCATACAGCGAACACATTCCATTTAACCATGTTAGGAAAAGAACCACCACCACCAACAACAAGAAGCCTTATTCCACTAAGAAGGAAGAGAAGGGGGGGGGGGGGGGGGTGTCAGTTACATGGATCAAACAATACCATTGAGCTCTACCAAAAACCAAGTTTTAATAAATCCATTTAGTGTAAAAGCTCACTTTAATGGTTTCTTCTAAAGTTGTCTTTGGTTTTCTTCCACCCTCTTCATCGCACTATCTTCAATTTGATCCTGTTTTGTCACTGTAGCCTCTGTCGGCCTTCTCGCATGACCAAACCACCTTAAGCGAGTTTCTGTTATCTTCTCCTCAGCATGTGCTAAACCAACTTTCTCCAGTATATTTTGCTCTAGATCTTATCTTTCCTTTTCATGTCCACTCGTCCACCTAAACATTCTCATCTCTGCTATACTTATCTTTTGCAATAGTTGGCATTTTACAGCACATCATTCACAACCATATAGAGCATCACTAATCTTATTGCTATCCAGTAGAATTTTCCTATGCGTTTGATAGCAACCTTATGATAAAAAATTATGCTTTATGTATTTATCTGTTTCATTCTCTTAGTTTCATTCAAATGTGTTCATCCCCCCAATATCCCCATCGTTTTGTAAGACAGGTCCAAAATACCTAAAATTCAAAACTTGTGGTACGATGTGATACACAATATTCACCTCCAAAACATTGCTACTCAACACTTGCTAATTGTCCCCATCTCATGTTTTGTTGTCAATCCTTACTTAAAAGAGGAGGGTTGAGTTAGGCCCTCCACATCCAACGTAAAAATAAAACTTTGATGAATCATTATGGAATTCATCATCGATGTTTGGAATATTACTATCAAATATTAATTAGCCACCATACCTGAATTTCTAATGTATTTTTGTACTTTAGGTATAGGTAAACAGGTCAACTACTCTTGGGACCGTTGCATTTGAAAAGAATCATCAGGGGATTTTAATCAAAAAAGGAATCACAGGAGCTGCCTAAGAACATTAATGCCAACCACACATGCCATAAAATAAAACAAATATAAAAAGGAAAACAATAATCCTAAAACAACTAGATAATCAGTATTGACCTGAAGGCATGATCCCATATGCTGTCAACAATATCCCAGTCAGCAACAACTCCATCCTTAAACGGAGACAGCACCTGACAGCATGGAAGAAAAAGATAACTACGCCTGTTCATTTCAATCTGCAAAATATCAATCAAAGCCTAATGTACAAGACCATTACAAAAGGGTTACCTCCATATAGTCTCTGCGATATCCCAAGGACTGAGATCCTACATACAATTTCCTCTTTCCCTTGGCTTTGTCAGAATCAACATTTCTAAGATTGTTCCTCGATTCCCCAGCAGAGGTAGAGCTCTTTTCAGCATCATCTTCTTCATCAATATCCATTTGATCAATTGCTCCAACAACCTAAGTTCACATATGTCAAGACAACATCTAATCATTATATTACAATATTCATTAACAATGAGTAAACTATCCATAGATTTTCCAGATGTTATTCTAAGTTACTAACAAGCTATAAATTATACAGGCACCCAACTACACTATCAAGCAGTACTAGCTTATCACCACACAAAAATGCCAGTGCCCTCTTCAATTCAATTAACTGAGAGCATAACAATACTTTTTATTCTATCAACATAAAGCAAAAAATAAAAAACTGAGAACAACCTATAGAACAATAAATGGTAAAAAAAAAATCAGTAAAATAGGAAACAAAACAAAAATCCAATTTATTTAAAAAATAAGAATAAATTAAAAAAAGAAAAGAAAAAGTGTAGCCAACACACTTACAGAGGGAAACACAGCCTTAGGGGCATCTTCACCAGCATAACCAGCTTTGCATGTGTGTGAACCCAAGTCAAGTACTATTGCTGATACTTCATCTGTGAATTCAACCAATAGAACAACAAGAAGAAGAAAAAAAAGCATGAGAAGGAGAAGAAAGAGAAGAAGAAGAAAATTAACTAGTTTTCATACTCACCACCGCCATACATGGCTGTAACGATCCTACGAACTCCACAAGAGAATTAGGGTTTAGAAAGGGTTTACGAATTTTCTCTCTCTAGGATTTCAGGAGAGTGAAAGAGTGTGAGAAAATGAAGCTCCGACGACAAGGAGTTCCGCCACGGCAGTTACCGGCGAGGGTGGTCGGAGGAGGAAAGTTGAAAAGTTTCTCTCTCTACGAATTTTCTCTCTCTAGGATATATGTCACGGGCTCAAATAATTAGCATGAGCATTATTGTACCGGATTAAGAGGATATTTGGATTCTGTTATTTTAAAGTTAGAAACTATTTATAAGATAAAGTTAGAAAACAAAAAATCAAAAAAATAAATTAAAAGCGGTTTGAAAATTACATAAAAAATTTAACTTAAAAATTACTTAAAAGCACATATTTGAAGAAAATTATCTCTTTCTTTATCTTTATCACTTTTTATTTTGAAAAAAAGCACACAATTCAAGAAAGACAGATAAGAGCTTAAAAAAAAAACTCTTAGCTTTTAATTTTCAATTTTTTCTTTATTATAAAAAAACTTTTTGTTATAAGAACTTTCCCCAAGACCTGTTTGGTCTAGCTCACGCTTATATAAGTAGTTTTTAAAAAAAAAACAGGCACTAACGAAGGGAAAAGACCGTGGGCTCCATTTCTTGGATCAAATTTTCCGGTTAATGGTTGTTTAAGCTTCGGCATGTTCAAAGAATTTCCCTTCAAATTTTTATGTAATTAAAAAAAAAATCCCTATTTAGTTTTCTTTTTTTTTGGTGACAGAATCACTAATTAGTTGATTGAGTTTGACATTGTATAAGTTTTATTTATCTATTTTCATGATAGATTTTAATTTATTTATTTTTTGGTAATATAGATTTTAAAGTTTTTAATATCACTTTCACCGTAAAATTTATATTTTTATTTATTGTTTTAATATCGCTATCATATGATTTATATATTTAGGCTTTTTCTTTTCAACTAGTTAAACAATATTTAAAAAAGATAAAAATAGTGTTCCAACTTGACATGGATAATATTGTTGCTAAAATTCTCAAAATTTGTTCCAAAAAAAAATTCTTAAAATTATTATAAACAATATCTTGTAATATATATTTTTCAATCAATATAGGTAATATATTTCATTTTTCTTGTGACATTATTTGTGTCAAAGAAGATTTTGTCATTTTTTTTCTTGAAAACTACCTATGGCTATAGTATCTAAGTTTTATGGAATAATAAATTCATTCTTGTGGAACCAATGCCGGATATAAAGATTTTAGGAATTTGATGATAACAAACAAAGCATGTAAGGAAGGCTTCAAGTTGCAACAATAAAAAAAAACAGACAACTAACACTCATGAAATCCTTCAAGATTCAAGCTTCAAGAGAAGAATCTAAGTCCAAAAAATTTCAAGTAATATACTTTAGGACTTAGAATTAATTGTGAGGGTAATTGACTTATTGCATAAGTAAGCTCAAACATATTTATGTTAAAGTGCATGCATTAAATCATCAGTTGATTACACAAAGGATTTATAGCATCACGTATTTATAAAAACATGTTTTCAATATTCAATCAAGCAATTAAACATGTTTGAAAGTGTAACATCCCGCGAATTTAGGAAGTTCTATAATTTCTATTAGGAATGGGAGAGCATATCTGGAACTCGGATTATACACATAATTAGAGTAGAATTGATTCGAGTAGGGAAAGTATTTTAGTGCATGCATGTGGTTAGGAATAAGTAGGTATATTTTCTGAATTGGAATACTAGTTAAAAGTATAGGATTAATTTTATTACAACGTGTAAACATTTTAGTTAATAATAAAAGGCACATGAAACAATAAATAGGGGGTTAGTACATGTGGTGAGTGATCCTTTAGGAAGCTTATCCTTTGGACCTTTGGAGCCTTAAGGGTTACGGCCCAAGAGCCTTGAGAAGGGCTTAAGTTCAGCCATAATCTATAACTAACCCTCACATATTATCTTAAATAAATCTACAAGGTTACCATGCATTGGTTGAGTAATAACACATGGCAAAACCTCATCCACTCTTGTGATCCCTTGTTATGCGCATAGGTTGGTATGAAAATTCTGATTGCTTGTAACCCTATACAACCTCATGTCAGCCTTGTTAAGTATGTATCCAACGAATGAATAGTAGTCAACCTGCATGTAATTCTATTGGTTGGATATCACACCTCTCCTTATCCTCTCTTTCACATGGTGCGTGTAAGAACCCGCACCGTTAATTAAGGTATTTAATTAATAAATTACGAGAAAATGGGAAATGATTCCATAATTGACCCTAATAATTATTTATGAGGCTTAATAATCGCAATAAGTGATTAAGAATGCTGAAAGTCGCTTTTTGGAAGAAAAGTGCAGGTACCGGTTCTGCTAGTCGGTATAAATGCGTACCGAAAAAGTATCCCGGAAAATTAATGTAGGTGCTTGATAATTACTAGAATAATATGTAGGATTTGTAAAACGAGTTTCAAGTCCAGATAATGAGAACTGGTGCTGGAAACCGATACTGGCTTGGAAAAGCGCGTACCGGAAAAGTGCTCAGAAAATTATAAGAAAAATATGATAAATCTTAGAAAATTATGTAGTTTCATAATCCGAAGTTTGGGATTAAAATGCTAAGCGTAGCAATTAAAGTTAATATTGTGTGTTAATCTTTAAGTGGGCTATATAAGCCTTAGTGGGCACTAAACCCTAGGCCATATTACATTCTCTACGTGAGTTTGGAGCTGGTGGCTGCTGCCTTGGCCTTCTCCACCTTTGTGTAACCTCTCTTGTAGCCTTTCTTCCCCTTTTCTTCACTAAAACACCTTGGGTGAGTGGGAATCATCCTTGTGAGTGAAAGGTGAGCACCTTTTTCTGAGTTGTGGTGGTTGTGGGAGCTGAGGTGTTTTCTGGTTTGGTGGCATTCTTGTTGAGGAGTGTTGTGCTTGGCTTGTGAGGCTTCAAGGAGCTTCCTTTGTGAAGAAAGATTCTTGCTTGGGTGGTATTTTCGTACACCCTTGAAGTCAGCACCTTGGGAGCTGATTGTGAGCTCCAAGAGCACCTCCAACCTCTGTTTTGAGCTTTGGTAAGCCTTGTCACCTTTTGTATTGAGTCTTTGAACTTAAAAATGAAAGCTTGATGCATGTTAAGGCTTAAAGATGATAACTTGTTGTTGAGTAATGTTGAACACACCTAGAAATGCATGTTTAGGTGCTGTAAATCGTTAAAAACCCAACCTTGGAAGGATATCTTCACGAAATGCATTTTCTGCATTCTGTCGTGAAATATCTGGATATCTGCCCGATGAATATCCGGATATGTGATATCCGGATATGGGTTTTGAGTATCCGGATAATAGATATCCGGATATGGGATTCAGGATATCCGGATATGTCCAGTGAGATATCCGGATATTGCGTATCCGAATATGGTCCCGAGGAATATCCGGATATTCTGGGATTTCGAAGAACAGTAGCTGTGCTGTGAGGACAGTAGGCTATTGGGGGTTTGTGGACCCTAGATTGATGAAGTTGAACTTCTGTTTTAATTAAATTAAGTCAGAATCAAGTGATTAAGGACTTATGGCTTGGTATGGAGCCTTAAGACGTAAAACGTAAGGAGAGGCGTTGTCTTTAAGTTATATGCTTGTGTTGCATTATTATTGATATAGTATTGGTCCATAACATATTGTGAATCTGCTGTGTTTGGACTTTGAGCTGTGGACTCTTGGCTTTTGGAGTTAGCTTGCAAGGTAAGCTTTCGTGTCCTCGGTTTAGCCATGTTGTGGTTCCACCATGTCCCATGGGGGTATGGTTTATGCATGCTGTGTACATGCTTTTGGATATTTGATATGTTGATTGAACTTTACATGTAATGGCTTTTAATATGCATGTGTTGTTTCATCTTGACGGGAAGCCTGAGTATGTAGCGCCATACAAGATGGTGTACCGGGGTGAATGCAAGTGGTACTTGCACGGTGTGTAGGTGATAGACGTAAACCTGCACTGTCTCTGGCCAGTAGATTAGTATTGACACACATGGCATGATTATCTGCTGCATTGCATTGTTTTTGAAATAATAAATGATAAACTGCTTTTGAACTTATATTGCACATGTAAGTGAGCTTGGGGTGGAAGATCCTTGAGGACTCACTGACTTACTGAGATTTCTAGATTAGAGATCTTACCCCACGTTTGGGGAATGCTTATTTCAGGATCAGGTAGTATGGGTACTGATGCCTCAGGCGGCGGGAGGCCGGAGCTTAGCTGATTTTGTTGTTTCTGCTTATTTGTTAGCATGACTGGATTTGGATTCTGTTTATGTTTTCCGCTATTTATGACATAATGTTGTCGAGACTGATGTTGGGCATGTTGCCTTATTTGAGTGAGCATGGGGATTGTCCATAACACATTTTCCTTTAGTACTTGTAGTTTGGAGTTGTATAAACTGTTAGATGGTCCGGTCTACATTGTTGTAGTTCCGTGACTAGAGCCACAATTATATTATCTATGTTATGAGGTATTTCAGTTAGCTGTTTTATTGCAATTACATACAGGCGATGTTTTATTAATTGATTATTAAGCAAGTTGGTAAAGTTAATGGCATCATAATTGAAAAGAAAAAGTAATTCCGCATTTTAATTAAGCGCAACTTAATACGATATTATGATAACATTACCGGATATATACGGGGTGTTACATTTATGGTATCAGAGCAATGGTTCGAGGGAAAAGCCTGTATGTATTGCAATTGCTAGGTTGTTTGGTTGTGTCTGTCTTTGTGTTTACTCCGTCGAATTTTATTATGATGATGTATATGTGATCACATTGCGTGGGCCTGATCAACTCATAATTTGTGTAACTTGTGCAGAGTCATGGTAAGGTCCGGGAGAACACGAGAGACTTCTGAGGATCAATCTGATCCTATCCTGACTGCATTGGCTGAGATGCAGGCGGCTAGGTTAGCCGATCAGGAGGCCGCTAGAGTGACCAACGCGACAATGATGGAAGCTGTTCGCGAGGCGAACCGGATAGCCGCAGCTGAGGTTCGTGAAGCGAACCGGAGGACCACTGAGGAAGTCCTCGAGGCGAACATGATGGCAAACATGACGATGATGAGAGTCATGTTGGAGGAGATGAGGGTTGGTCCTGCTGTAGGCCAGGCTCCACCACCACCGCCTCCACCTAGTGTTCAGGAGG